ATTAATTTTCCTGTGTACATAAAAAAGAATTTGTTGCCAAAAGAAGACCAACACTTGACTTTAAACCATAACTGGACTCTCCACATCAGGCCACATCTGGCTCTCCTGGTACTTGCCTCCTGGTTTGGAGACCAAGCAGTTGATGCAAGGACTGTAAATGGCTCTTAAACAGACTTAAGACGTGGTTAAGAAGGAAGAAATTATCGATTCGGGTCTAATTAGCTGCCCGTCTTCTCCTTCAGCTGGTGACTCTTGTCCAGATGTGGGTGGTTCCTCTTTACTTCACCATCAAGCTCTACTGGTGGAGGTTCCTGTCCATGTGGGGGATGTTCTCGGTGGTCACCAGCTACGTTATCTTCAGAGCCACCCGGAAGCCGCTGTCCTGCAGGACGCCCAGGTAAAGGCTGGACTTATACACAGTCAGACCCATTAAAACCGAACGATGAGAAGATGTTAGTAGAGCCTCCGCCGGTCAGAAAACCGGCATCTACAACGTTTTGTTTTGTTTATTTATCAGGATGGTCTACAAGTGGTTTCTCCTGATCTACAAGCTGAGTTACGCAGTGGGGGTCCTGGGTTACCTGGCAATCATGTTCACCATGTTCGGCTTCAACGTCTTCTTCAGGTGAGGTTATCACCACTCACTGTCAGGTTCCCACAGCGAACCTGACGTGTGCCTGAGCCGTATTTATCACCAAGCACCACTGTTTCATTGAATTATTTTTTTGATATCCTGGGGCATGTCTTTGGACCCCCAAACCTCTGTTACAGCTAATTTATGTACGCCTGAAGCCTCATTACCATGTGCTTACCTTAGGCTATAGTTTAAACGGGACTTTCTTCCACTGAGCAGAATCAAGGCTGAGGACTCGATGGACGTAGGTGTGATCATGCTGTTTTACGGCCTTTACTACGGCGTCATGGGCAGAGACTTTGCCGAGATCTGTTCCGACTACATGGCTTCTACGATTGGGGTAAATTTCCTTGTGATTCAGGATGGTTTATCAGCCGGTGTACAAAAAGAAATGCACTGCTATTTTCTTCTATCAATGTGTAATGGCTCTTTCCCGCCAGCATCTACTCTACTTGACTTGGTTTAGGTAGCTTTCCACCTGTAGTAGAAGCTAGTATGCGAGACAAACCTGAACCAACAGGTCTAAGGAGGCGACGGTGCACCTGCTGCTCCCCGTCGTTTGGTTTGGTTCGGCTCGGCTCGGCTCACTTAGAACCCAGGCCAAATGAGGGCTAAAGAGAACCTGATACCAGGAGCTAAAGTGTAGCTAGAGCTGGTGGGAAAAGGCCACGTGGGTCTATAACAGGGGTCGGCAGCCCGGGGCTTTATTTTTGTTAGTCCGTTTTTATTGTAGTTCTAAATTTGACCATAATTGCGATCGTTAGATATTAAAATGGAATTATTTTATTGTATTAATGTGTTATTATTATTACTTTTAATTTTCCGTTTCTTAAAAATCTGCGTCATTCATGGAAGTCGGTAGCCTAGCATACGCGTATGCTAGTCTGACAGAACACCCGCCCAAACGCCGTGCATCCATCGAGACCCCAGGTAGGCTATGGAGAAATCTACGAAGAGAAAAATATCTGAAGAAAAGAGAAAAATATTTAATGATGCCTAGGCAGATTTATTGGCTTTTACCTCAGAGGACAGTGGGCTACCAGTATGCCCAATGTGTGGTGGGAAACTAGTCGCAAGACATTTCCGAATCAAACTCACTGCCTTTGATGAAAAACATCCAGAGTCTTACCTTCAATTTAGATGTCAAACATTTTTTTTGCGTCTCTCAGTGTTTATTTTTCCGTCAAAACCGGGTCCAAGTGGTTCTTTGAGTGTCAGGGGTGGCCGACCCCTGGTCTGTATAGGTGCACCTCAGAAGCTAGAACCGTGTACAGTCTCCCCCCCGTCTAACCGGGGCGTCCTGACGTGGTCTGTACTTTCAGTACTACAACAAGGGAGGGATCCCCAGCCGGAGTCTGAGCAGCGACATCTGCGCGGTCTGCGGCCAGAGGATCCTGGTGGACGTGGAGGAGGAGGGCTTCATAGAGGACACCTACCAGCTCTCCTGTGGGCACATGTATCCTCACACCTTTGATGGAGCCCCTCCTTAAAAGTCCAGTTCTGGGTAGGGATGGAACGGTTTCTGAAAACCGTCCGAACCGTTGGGTTGGACTGTCTCGGTTCTGTTCGCGTGTGTTGCGTTCGGTTCATGCTGCTCCTTTTTCTCAGAGGGAAGCGTTTACACTCCAGAGCAGAAGGGGGCGCTACTGCACCCAAAGCCAACCCCCAGTAGGAAACAAGAAGAAGAAGAGGCGAAGCAGCGTAGCCGATAACAATCCAACGCGCCAACAGCAGTTTCTGGGTCTGCTGTATGGACCAGTTTGCATTTAGAGGGAAGCACATGTTGGAATTAGCACTGTTTCCTCTCTTTCAATGCCAGAATCTCACCTACTTTTAACCTAAGACTGTCACAAGGATGTATCAAATGTCAGACTGCTTTTTTCTTGCAGTTTTAACCTGACTATACAAGACATATTAGATTTTCCTAACAATCAACATACAGTAATCCCTCGTTTATCGCGGGGGTTACGTTCCGAAAATGACCCGCGATAAGTGAAATCCGCGAAATAGAAAACTTTTTTTTTTTTTTACAATTAGCAACTATTACATGTATACAAATACAGTGACTCCCGTGTAGTGTCGGTCCAGGCCGTTTCGTCGACATTATGGGTTTAGGAGATGTTCGAAATTACAAGATAATTTGGCCAACTTAATGTAAATTTGCTAATCTGTTTTATGTACGTACACATAACTGCACGAGACGACAAAATGATAGCACAATTCGTAGCATGTTTTGATACAAGAAGCGGGAGTGAGTTTTTAGCGAATCAGAATGCAGAGCACAATGCACCCAAAAAAATAAATAAAATGCATTATGAAAATCCGCGAAATAGCGAATCCGCGATAAGTGAACCGCGAAGTGGCGAGGGATCACTGTATACCGAACCGAAAACCGTGACCACGAAACCGTGAATCGAACCGAACCGTGGATTTTGTGAACCGTTCCACCCCTAGTTCTGGGTTCTCGGAGCTTCCGGCTGGTGTTCGGGGCGACTCAGCTTCCGTTACTTTCAGCCTTAACGTGTTCGACGCGGCCAGATTCCACGAGTTCTGCATCCGCGGCTGGTGCATTGTGGGTAAGAAGCAGACGTGCCCGTACTGCAACGAGAAGGTGGACCTGAAGAGGATGATGAACAACCCGTATCCTGTTTTTGTTTGTTGTCCTTTGCGAGCTCAGTTTCATTTCGTTGACAAGAGGGAGGAAAGATTAAACCGGAGTCCATGTGGATAGTTATAGCTTTAGTTCAAGGGTCGGGCCTCCAGGTTTTAGAAGTTTCCCTGCTTCAACACACCTGAATCTGGTCAGGGTGCCCTAATCAGGATGGTGCAGAGCCTTTGAACTGATCCACTCAATCAGAATCAGGTGTGATGCAGGGAAACCCCTAAAACCTGCGGGATACCGGCCCTCGAGGACCCGAGTTGGAGACCCATGCTTTAGTTAGTAAAAGGGGAATCCAACCCTCACGGTTCCTCTGCAGGATGTCAGAGTGGAGCCCCCCCACTCCTGGATCAGCTCAGCTGAAGGCTCTCTAGGATGTCCCGTCTGGGCTAGCTTATTTTGTTGAGATTTTCCAGGAATGTGGAGCCTTCAGGTGTTCGATGGGCAGACCCGTAACTCCCAGGAGGGTGAGGGCAAAACCTCAGGATCCTCCAGGATGAGCGAGAGCGCCGTTTAGCGAAAGGGATGCAGGTTTCCTTACCGGACCTGTGGCCTCAACACAGACAGGTGGAAAGTTATAGATTCAGGAGTTAAGTTTTCTGTGTATGTGAGGGTCAAACTTTAACAGGTAAAGAAAAAACTAACTTCAAAACTGAGAAAATGCGGCAGCACCTTCAAAAAAGACATAAGACTCAACTTTGAATACAGAAATTATATCACATCTAAAACAAATTAAACACTCTGATTTTCTTTTCTTATGAAGTAAGTCAAATTAAAGCAATGTGATTTAAATAACTTGCTTTTATTTCTCTTTATATTCCCAGAAGCATTTCACATTTTGTCCTCATTTTTCCTCTTAACATTTAAGAATAGTCAGTGACTCGTATGTTAGCGTTGCCCTCATTTTCACCTCAGAGTAACATAAAATTCAGGATTGATTTGGGGAGAAGCGGATTATAAGTTAATTTAAAGGAAGATGAGCGGTCTGGACCCGTTTATTCTCAGTGCACCTACAGGGCTTTTCTGAGCTTACTCCTGGGACCGGGAACCTCCTTAATTCCTTCCCCGTCCAGCTGGGAGAAGACCCACGTCCTGTACGGCCAGCTGCTGGACTGGCTCCGATACCTGGTTGCCTGGCAACCCATCATCATCGGCATCGTCCACGGGATCAACTTCTCGCTGGGCCTGGAGTAGCTCCCCGAGGAGCCTCTGGATTCCGGACATCTGGGATATGTGACTCCACGGGGACTCGGCGAGGCTTTTCTGCGTAGCATGACATGAGCATCAGGCTTTTCTTTTCCCCCCCCCCCCCCCCCCCCCCCCCATCGAAGACTTCCTGCTTTTCCGAAGCGAGGAGCGGTGCCACAACCTCGTCTCTATTCGGCTTTGTTCCAAAAGCTCAGCGTCCTCTCCTGTTTATGTCTGTCCGGCTGGTTGAACTTTTGTTCACATCCAACAGCAGAGCGCCTCTGAGACTGTCATTGGTTTGCGTTTCCTCATTGAAAACGACTTTAATAAATATTTATAAAACCTCATGGGAGTTTCAGTCTGGTCTGGTGACGCCTGTGGATCAGTCAAACGGGGGTGGGGGGGTGGGGTGTTTTTACTGGATTGTTCTTATAAACAAGCTGGTGCGTATGCTTTGAGGGGGGGGTCAGCTTTTACATTAGCCGGGGAGATACGGCCCATTTTCACGTGTTGCGTTTAATGGAATCGTGTGGTTTCCAGGAAAAGGAAACTTAAGTCGATTCCTACCAGAGGCGGATCACGTGGTTCTTTACTGTGCTCTCAGAGGGCCTCGTGCGTTTGCTCTGGCCGGGGTGTGCCAGTGCTCCAAAAGTTGTCTGGGAGGCAGCCATTGGCTCCTGAAAGTTTGCATAACTGGGCGCGTCGAGTTACGTCCGCTCTTTAAGTCTTCACTTCTGACTGAGTGGCAGAATCCCGCAGTACCCCGCACAGGTAAGGAGGTTTTCCTTCAGTGATTTACCATCATTGTTGTGTCATTTCATAGAAAGTTACCCCTTTTGAGTAGCAGCTTTTCAGACTTTAGCAGGCACTAGAATCCTCCAGATGTCTGAAAGTAAACTCTTAGCTGTGTGTTTTGTCAGTTTTTTCCGTCCTGACAAAAGCAGTTGATTTTCTTCTGGTGTTCACTGTTTTTCTGTCGTCAGTGGACGTCGTGGAAGACAGTTTGAACTAGATAGGATCGATCGGTGCATCTAGACTAGTCCGTGGATATTTCCGGACTTTTAGGTGTAAGAACACCGTCTTAATGCCAAAGTTAGGCAGTATTTCAGACCCTTGAGGAGGCACAGAGACTGTTTGTTAGTTTACTTTTCTCCGTTCTGCCACTTTTGGCTCCTTTACGTCGTTGTGTCTCGGATCGAAATGCTCTCGGGTGTGAGATTCGGCAAGACGTTGTCAAACTGCCGCGTAAATGTCGGGTGAAATAAGATATTACGTTTTTAGATTTACACACAGAGGGGACAGAGTTTTCTAAAAACGGAGTCTGAGACAGGAATGAACAATGACTTACACTGCAAAGGACTTAAAGGGTTTATTGAAACAAATCATTTCCTTTCAGGCTACATCAGGAAACATGGCAGAGGGAGGAGTCAGCCCAGTGGTAAGCAGAAGTACATTTACATAATTGTATAAGAGCGCCTGTGCTTCAGGCTTTGCTGTGAGACGTGTGGTTGAATCTACCTGGGTATGCCGTCAGTATCAGGAATTCCTCAGGCACAGACAGTCAGCTTTATTCAGGCAGGACTTTGAAGTCTTAAACACGTCTTCATTAATCATATGACATGCTAGCCAGGATACCCTCTCTCGCCTTCAGCAGCATAAAACAAGACGTCTATGCATTGCATAAGCTGGAAAAAATGCTACTTACCAGGCGTGTTTGTATTTCTTTAATTTAAGGAATAAGTGGTGTACATTGTAAAGGGGTGTTAAAACTAACAGGACACCCTTTTATGCAATAATCTAAAGGGAAAATGACACATCAGAATCCCCCAGCATTAACAGTTGACAGGGGCCTGTCTTTTAAGCTGTGTTTGGACCATGGCTGCCATCTTGAAATCCGCCATATTGGATGAGGAAATGTAGGCCCCCTCTCCTATGACCTTCTGGGGTGTTCAATATGTAGTATTCCCTTCACTTTCTGTGACTTTCTTGTGACTTTTGACGCTGTAGTATTGAACCTGATGGCGTAGAGAGATAGATGGTGACACCTACAATACAATATAAAGGATTTTTTACGCATAGGAGAAAGAGTTTGACCTTAATTCATCTGTAATTCATTTTTAATTACTGACAAAGCTCAGAAAATAACCCGTTCCTTTAACTTGGATCAGAATCTGAATCTGTTTCTTTACTGAGCAGAAAGCTAAGACTAGAGTGAAGGAGGAATTCCCCACAGATGATTCTTCATCGGTGAGTTTCCTCTGATATGCAGCATGGGTGGTTTTTATTATTATTCTGACTCTAATCATATTTGTCTGATTTCCTTCAGGTCAAACATGGACATCATTTCAGAGTGCAATTCAGATCAGCTAAAGAAATATATCGCATCCACTGTAAAAGACCACAACCATTGCTGGAGGCCATAAAATCACAACTAGAAAATGAATTCATAGAAAAAGTAAAGGTTACCGAAGAGAAAATTATCATTAGGTTGGGTGAGGGTGCGGAGGCGTCTCTTCTTCCGACACATTTTCCTTGTTCTTGTATTGATAAAGACCAGTTATTGATCATAAGTACATCAACCAAAGCTGTTGAATGCTCAAATGTGAGAACAGACGTTGAAGAAAGAAATCAATACTGTGTCTTCAAAGTTGAAAATGTGGGAGCAGATAACACCAAGTCCAAAATCAAGAGGATTTTCAGATGCACAAATATCCCTGTAAAGTTCAGGTCTTTTCGTGTTTATGCAAAAGAGGGCATGACTGTGCTGGAGGCTATGAAACAAGATGGTCGCTTTGTAGATGATCTGAACGACTTCAGTTTGCAGGACAACGAAGATAACACCTTAATCAAGTGTACAGCACCAATCAGTAAAGAAATGGACAATCGGTGTTTCAGGGTACGTCTTCCAAAGGATAAGCAATCAAAGCCTGCTAAAAAAGAGGTTAGCCATGTTAATCCGGAACAGCAGAAAAGCCGAAGGGCATCAAATGACTCACAAAGCAATGAAGAAACACAGTCAGTCATGGAGCTAGCACAGGATGAGGGCATTAGTCTGAGAGCTGCTATGGAAAAGACTGGTGTGAGTGATAAGCAGGTAAACATCCAGGAGATAGAAGAAATCCTACGCAAGCAGTTTAAAGGCCTCAAAGAATTGATGCAGAAAAGGTTCCCTGGTCAGTCCCTTACAGAAGCGCTGAGAGTGAGCAAGGAAGGCTTCGGAAAGATCCAGAACTCCTTTAGTGACTTTGAAACACTCGAGGAATTGTTGAACCTCGGCAAGTCGGTTTGTCTATTGAAGATAGAGGAAAGGAATTCCTCTTTTACAATGCAGGGCACAGGCTTTGTGCTGTTTGAAAACTTTGTCTTGACAAATGCACACTTATTCCGACCGTTTTTTAAGCAGAGCAATGATTGGTTGGATTTCATTAAAATCACTGCTGAGTTCAACTATGAAAAAACTTCGAAGAACGAAGTTGAGGCTAAAGTGTTCCACCAGGGGACGCCAGCTGTAACACAGATTGGTGATTATACACTAGATTTTGTTGTGCTAAAGCTCATCACTGAAACCCGAATGAGTGAAACACAACAGCAAACCGAACCCTTTAGCATACCACCAGGGCTCCTGAGGAAATTTGGGCACCTCCCTGAGGATGGTGGGGCCTGTATTATTGGTCATCCAGCAGGAGGAGTGAAAAAAATTGATCTCACCAGTATTATAAGAAAGGAGCAGAGGGAGCAGGCTGTCGAGCAGAACCTACAGGATTATGAAAGTTATCTTTTTACAGTCTACTCAATCAAACAAGTTATTGAAAAGGACCCATTGGCAAACATTCACGTGACCTATAATTCCTTCATGTATCACGGCTCCTCAGGCTCACCTGTGTTTGATGCCCACGGCCGAGTTTTTGGTTTGCACTCTGGTGGCTTTTCCTTCGGCTTTCCTTATGAGGACCACAGTGTGTTGGAGTACGCCTTTCCTCTGCTCGCTATATTCGAAAAGTTAGTGAGCTTGCTTAAGGATGCTGGAAATACAGAGTTGTTGAACAGAGTTAATGAAGAAGTTAAAGAAAACGTCTACCTAAAATCCATCATGTCAAAAGTGCTGAATGAAGATGAAGCCCCAGGAGAGACGGCAAGGGACAGCCCACTGGGTTTGGAGGAACAGATGTAAACAGACTCGGTTCCTCCTCCTCAAATGTCCGGTACATAATATTCCAAATTTCTTAGTGAGATAAACATCATTCAACCATGGAGAGACACTTTTTGAGTCGGGGAAACAAGGAAATGTTGTTTTGGGAAACTTTATATGCTGAGTGAATGCGAAATAGGGGTTTAAAGTTTTTACATTAATTGATGGTGGTGGCTGTTATTAAAAAGAATAAGAGTGTAAGCAGAAAAATGAAGCAGAACAGACCCAAACTGGAATCTCCTGCTTCCATGTGTTTAACCAGTTGAGCATCACAGTTCATCTGAGGTGTAGCATTAATATATGAATCTTTTCACACTCATGGTTCAACCGTTCTGCACAAAAAAAGAGAATTTTACATAGTTTGTATAAAAAATTCTATCTACAGACCTGAAAAGCTTGTTGGATGTTAAACTTAAAAATGATAAATGATGCTGTTAGGAATGTGCTATCTATGTAGCAACTAAACATACCAAACAAAAGCAATGACTGGAAAAACCTTGTTGGTGGATATTGTGACACTATCGCTGAGATACAGTTGGTATCATTCATAGAGACCACAGTTTTTGCTGAATGGGAAATTTAAGTTGTGAACTGCCTGTCAGGTGATGATAAAACCAGATGTGCTTGTTATGTTATGCCCTTTATTTTCTATATGTGTGTTTAAAGAAAATCTTAAGATTGTGATACATTTTGAAGGGTTGAACTTGATTAAAGCTTTATACTTGGTAACTTTGTGTCCTGCTCCAAAACTTTGTGTTCCACAGCTTCAATAAAAAAAATCTTCCACATTCAAAGATTTAAGCATCTTTTGTGTGAGCCGTTTTTCATCCTGATAAGTGACTTTAAACGGTTGGCTTCCAGAAGCAGGATGCAACTCAGGCATCACACAACAGCTCCCTCATGTGGCTGTTTCAGGGCACGACAAGCCGAAGGCTTTTTACTGTGATTCCCTGGGAGTTTTCAGGAAAAACAGCTGGATTATAAAATAAAAACATGAATCTGTCTATGTGTAAACAAAAGCCACTTTGTGTGAGGACAGTTATGACGTTTGCTGGTTACTGAGGGCAACATTTAGCTGACCATATACAAAAGAATGGATATGGTTTCATTTTTGGACGTCCAAAAAAAACAATAAAAACACAGAAAATAAATGCGCAATCGTATGGAAGTAATTTAGCTTTTTGGTTAATTCACGAATTATACAAAGTCTGAAATTCATACTCAATACTTTCAATTAAAAGAAGTCCAAATAAACGATCAACAAAGTTGAAAAAGTGTTGGAATCACTGTACATAGGTTATCATATAAAATGGAGGACACCTGTACTCC